TAAATTTTCTAGTATGGTTGTTAAGCCCTAAATTAATCAGCATTAAAACTGAGTGTCTCGTTTCCATAGAGATAATAATAATAATATGTACCTCTGAGTTTTTTTCAATGCATTACAAAATGATAAAATATTTTGGCAAGGAAATACAACTTTTAAATGGAAAAGAAAAGTTCCAAATATCTTGAAAAAAATCTTTAGATTGATTAGCCTAAAAAGTAAAATTTCGATATTTAGCCTCGCCCTAAGTTTACTTATTATGGTACAATACAATATTGTTTTTAGCACATAAAAACAATTCGTGAATTCTACTTTATATTATTTACTTTTAAAGTCTAAGAAATTGCCATAAATTTCTAATATGTATATTTCATTTTTAAAGTGCTTTGGGGTTCTTTTCAAGTATTTACTGCACATATGTATGCATATATATTGTTATACCCTGAACCAATTAAAAATGGGTATAAGGGTATATTGTATTTGTGCGAAATCCAAATGTATGTAACAGGCAGAAGGAAGCATCTCCGACCCCATAAAGTATATATATTCTTGATCATCACCGATCGATAACTTACTCCGTTTCCAAGCAATCGATAAAAATCGATATCGATATCCTGTTTTTGGTCAATTTTGGTAAATAATAAGAGCTAGAGTCACCAAACTTGACATATAGCTTCTAAAATAGAATATATATATGAATTTGATGTTTGAAGAAGAGGGTTCAGGGTATTCCCTAGTCGGGAGCTCCCCTCTTACTTGTGTTATTTGTTTTTGCAACGAGTAAATGTCGTAAAAATAGATTTGATTTATTTACGGCGAGAGGATTGGATGTGGCAGGCAACTGATAATGCCAGACAGATGGGCAGATAATGTACTATCTTTTGCTCCGACTTGTCTATAATGAATACTTATATTCTAATATATATATATGTATTAATCCAAGTCAATCGATCAGTAGGGCTTACAACTTGGCTGTTTGCCCTCTGGAGGGGCCATTTATTATGCGCGTTATTTTAATTATAATCAATTTGAATTTCGAGTCTCGCAAATAAACCTAGTCGCAGAGCCCGTTCCCTGTCTTCTGTGTAGTATTTGTGGGTCGTATCTTATCTGGTTTGGCTCTGGCTCTGTGCTCTAAATTAAATTTCTTCTTTTCTTGTATTTCTTTTTGCCGAAAGATAAAAACTCGAATTTGATAGCATTGGCGAATGTGGGCGAAAATTGAGTCTACAAAACTCAAATAATAATATATTTTCGTAATAGTTGCAAGTGCTCAAATAATGTTTTTAGTTGAATGTTCCCTGAAGGTCGTGGGGTCGTATTGTTAACAAAAAACAGAAGACAAAAAAATGTTTAATTGCCAGTTCTTTTTCAGTTACTTGCCAAACAGCTGCGTGGCTTCAAAGTGTGTCGAACTATTTTGACAGTTTTGTTAGCCAACAAGATAAGTGAATGGGCACAAATTGGACAAATGAAAATAATGTCTGAAGATATATTTCACACACGGTACGGTACAATATAGAATGTAGAATGTGTTTAATATGAGTTCAAGTTCAATTGAGTTAAAGCTCAAAGAAAAACCGTCAGTAAAAAGGTTATGAAAGCGAAAAAAAAAGTACCGACGCATCTTCGTCTTCGGCTTATTGATGAAGAATCAGTTAATAATGTGAAAATTGCCCATAAAGTGGATAAGGAAAACAAGTTACACACCAGTGTAACATTTACGAAATGGGACATACAAGAGATAACAAGAAAACTGTTTATAGAAGATGAGTTAAATTGATTAGAAGCGAAATTTTAACTAAGGTCAACGCCTAGCAGTAAATAACGTTTACGAATGTGACTCAAAGCAGAATATGGAAAACAAAGTCGTTCCAACAAAATATATTGCTTTTCGCTTAATGCTTAGAGGAAAGATGTAGATTTTAAAATGGGGCTTGAGCAAAGCTAAAAGGCAGCGTTGCCAGTGTAATATTGACGAAAAGAGGATAAAGAGGACTGCAAGCATAAATGTTCTTCACTCAATATGTAATCTAGGTGACAGCTTGTTGAGAAGTTCAATTAAATTGCAATTCCCGACAAGCCATGGCTTTAAGGCATAAGACTAATTAGCTGTAAAAGCACAAGCTGCATAAATTATCAAACTTTCCACTTGTCCAAACCAACATTCAGCCAAGACAAGCAATGATAAAAATGCATGTGTTAATTGCGTGACATATCAAAAGGCCCAACATTAATAGTCGAATACTTGCGGAACTTTGTCCATATTGATATGGATTGGGGTTGGGTCGTAGATTGATTGATCTTTCACAAAAACCCTTTTATTAAATGAGACACAGCCGAATGTGAAACTAAGCGTACAGGCAAATGTGGGCCTAGTTAAGACATCTGACAAATTAGCAACTAGACAAACAGCTTAGAACATTAACGAACAAAGAAATATATTTAACAAATTTCATGAACACGATAATAATACAAACACACACACACACGCATACACACAAATTGACAGATCACATGTTTGCCATTTGTTTTTTCCTGACAGTTTTTGTTATTGTTTTTACGCTTTTTTGTTTTGTTTTGGGCTTAGCTCATTTCCATGCGCCGTTTCAAGTGCTTACAATTTAATTTAAATAAAATAAATAGAAAATGTAGATTACAGGCCCGAATTAATATGTTTAAGCATATCGCGTGGGCCAACGTCGGCGGCAATGAACTTGAAAATTAATATATGATATCATAGGCGAGGTGGGCACACGCGGAAAACATGAAGAAAGCGAAAAAAATGGCTTTAAATAGTCGCAATTAGCGGGCAAAATAAATATAATATATGTTAAAAATTCAATTTGTCTGTGCCACAGCCAAGAACTAGATCAACAATAATTTGAATTTTGTTTTTGCACAAAAGTGTTTAGCTGGAAACACACACACACACATTTTGCATATCTTTTAAGAGCATTTAAATAAATATTTTTTTTAAATATGGCAGTACTTTTTTTAAATTTAATTTATATTATTACTTTAGTAATTGAATTTGTATTTGTATTTGTGTAGAATCATATTTTTGGAAACTTTTTAATCCAGTTTGTTGGAATTTGAATTAACGTTAAAAATTGCAATTATCATATTTAATTAGGTAAATATTTTGGTTAGACCTTAAATTATAATTTGATTTACTGCACTTATATATGTTGTTATATTCATTTAGCTGTATTATATTCATGTATGTTATCATAGGCAATTCATTTATTACATTTTATTGGGTAAACATTTTGCTTAAATTTACTTTATAGGTTTGTTCATATTTGTATGTTATTTATTTTTATGTTTTCAATTGAAAAACATTTCATGTTTTGGAATTTTAGGGTATTTTATTTCAAAATCACAAATTGCAAGCAAGTCGCGTTTATTTAAACACAAATTAAACTAGTTTATTTATTAAAAAATTGATACTCGTGCTAATTTATATTTCATTAGCCGGACAATCCACACGCGCGTCTATTTTCTGATTTATTAAAAATAATTTTCAAATATTAAAAAAAAAAACCGTTTGCTTTGGGTTCTTGTTGCCCAATTTGTTGTTGTTGTTGTTTTCTTGTTTATCAAATTGGACAAGATGACGCGCGCGTCGCTCGGCCGGCACAGTCCAATTGGAAATGCAATTGAAATAAAAACAGAAAACGCAGCGTGCGAAAGAAAACGGCAAAATTGAAATGACGGCGACGCCATCGACGACAACGTCGACGCCGACGTATACGTAATACGTGTGATTGTGTGTGTGTGTCACTTTTCCGCAAAGCCCAAAATCTGTTAGTCAAGTGCGCACACAAAGCAAGCAGAGCGCGCGCGAGAGAGATAGAGATACGAACGCGTGAGAGAAAGTTCATAAAGTGAGCTTTTAAGAGCGCTGTTAACGCGATCATCTGCTGTCGCCGTCGTGTTCTTGTTTTTCTTTCTCTCTCTCTCTCTTGTCTTTTAAGGATTCTATGATAACACTGCCCACAATGACAACACACAGATTTAGTACGATAAAAACTTAACATGACTTTTACTCTTGTATTGATATTGGGTTATTGTTGCTGTTGTTCGCACTGATAAGCGCCACAGATTGTGCAAACGTGAAATGTAACCATCGCTTATCAATCAAATCGCATTAGCGTTTTATCAGCTGTTGAAATCAAAATTGCTCATGTCTATATTTATAATGACATTGTGGTGATTCCGCATGACGCCCTACATAATATATATAATTTGCAGACTATTTGGCAATATTATTTGATTTTTTAAGGATAATAATAATTATATTATTATAATTATATTATTATATTATATTAATTAAATTATTTTCCTACTGATAACGCGCCTTGTATTTCAAATTCAAGTTTAGTTTTTGTATCTGTTAGCTAACAGATTGGTGCTAAATAATATCAGGCAATTGGTTTGCGCATACGCTAAAAGGTTGACCAACCCGCCAAACTGTAATATACTTAGGTTAGCCGTGACACTCATCGCTTTGCATTCATCCGCTTAATGAGTTTGAACGATGTCGCGAAATATATACGTCTATCCATAGCAATTGCGATTATATCATATTCGATTTACTATTTTTGTTTAGAATTTATTTGCTTGTTAAGATTTATATACCTAATAAATTAACATTTCTCTCCAGCTGCTCTCGACTGTTAGATAACAACGCGCTGCTAAGTAACATAGGGCAATTGGTTTGAGCACGCGCTATGATCTAGTCTTTAACGAACGATAGAACGACAGTAATCCGCTTCGTTGATCGCAGATCTAAGTATAATTCATCATTTTCTATATTATTAAACCATTTTAAAAAAATTTAGAATTTCTAAGAATTATCTTTTAAAATTCCACTTAAGTTGGTTCCACTGTTAGTTAACAGGTTGCTGCTAAGTTAGGCAAACCGAGTTGGTTTGTGCGCCCACTTACAACTAAACAAGCCCACCACAAGAAATGTTAAATTAAGCCGTGACACTCACCGCTTTGCGCTTGTCCGCCTCGCTAACCGCTGAATTTGAACGATGTCGAAACAGATCCATAACTTTGGTCATCGGCGATCGCTGATTGGCACTGGCATGCGGACGCCCAGCGGTAACAGTGTGGTAATACTATAAATATATTTACGTATATACATTAAAAGATAAGCTAATTAACAGTTAAGTATCTGCAGTTGACCCACCTGCGCGTCGCTGCCCTGATGCGGATGCGCGCTGCCATCTTTGTACTTGCTCTTGGCGGAGACGGTGCCATCGGCATTGGTTATCGTTACGGCGGGATGTTGTTTATGGCCAAAATGCTGCATGGCCACTTTCATGGAGTTCATGAGGCCGCCGGCGCCACTTGCAGCTGTTATTGTTGCAGCCCCTCCACCAGCTCCTCCTCCACCAGCCAATGCTGCTGCAGCTGCTGCTGCTGTAGCGGGCGTGCCACCAGATACGGAATATGTGCTGCTGGTGGCGCTGCTATCGGCCGAGGATGGATCCAGCAAATGTTTATCCTTGTACCGCTTGGCGTCCGATTTGGCGCGCGGCCTAAACACATCGAATATGGTGGGCCGGCGATTCGGGGAGGCGATACCGTGCACCGTCGATTGATTGAGCACGGGCGAATCCTCGCCGCTGCGTCGCCGCTCCAGCGAACCGGAACGCGAACCCCCGCTGCCCACCATGCGCTCCGTGCTGCGTGAGATCTTCTCGCTGTGCCGATTCAGTTTCTCCAGTTTGGCCGCCTCGCGCTCAATGCGACGTGCCGTCTCGCGCTCCAATTTGCGGGCCTCCTTCTCGCGGCGTGATTGCTCCTTCTCCTGACGTCTGCTGGGGCAAGGGAAGAGTACAATTAATCTTTGATAGTTTCAGGTGTTGTCTCTTGGTACTTACCGCTGCTCTTTCTCCATTTTCTTGTAGGCCTTCTTGGCCGCCTTGGCATTGGGCTCCGCGGGCGCACTCGAGGGTCGGGAGCCAGGCACACGTGGCAGACCATCCTGTTCCTGAAAGCGTACATGACGTTTTTGAGTAGGGTTTTTATTAGTTGGTCTATTAATATTAGCTTCCAAATCTTCTGCTTGCGGCATTGTTGCTGCCAGCGAGGCCAAAGACAAACTGAGAGCCCAGAAACCCACTGGACTAATAAAGAGAAGAAAAATAAAATAGAATATAAAGGACACCTACAGCGTTTATCCTGCCTGTTTGTCCTGGGCTCTGCAATTATGCCGAATTGTCTACAAATACAATTTGAGCCCAACCCAAACCCCAGCAAAGAATCAACACAAGACACAATTTGCAATGACAGAAGACGACAACAAGAAAAACAACAACAACAACATCAACAACGACAACAACAAGTAGCGCGTATCGAATGTGCTTTATTAATTGAACAATTCCTGTGGCGCACTTTAATCGAATTTAATCAATTTATTTATGAATTACGCAAAAATTGCAGCAGTTGGGGCTTGAGGTTGTGAAACTGGCTGTGGTGAGTTGCCGAGGTCAGTCGGCAGGCCCCTTAACTGTCGGTTTGGGTATTAGCTAAGCCAATTGTGCAAGAGAGACAGCTGTTAACAGCTGTCAAGCGAATTGCGCAGAGCGAAATAACAGTTATGTTGCCAAGGGGCAGCTAAAATCCCACCAATCAAAAGGAGAAATTGCGTAAGAAGTATCTTACATGTGAAAATGTTAGAAGTTTAGCTGCAAGATTAAAGCTTAAAAGTTGGAAGATTAACTATATTTATCTAGTAAGAAGTGTGCTAGACTATATAAGTATGTACTTATAAGCTAATTGAAAGCCCGCATAACGTAATCGTGCTCATATATAATAATCGTAAATATCGATAAATTGACATATCAATCTAATTAAATCATCTTAACTTGCGTATGGAATACGAAAAACAATTCAACAACGGACGTACACGGCTATAATCATCCAACTGTGTATACATAAATGGGAGTTGAATATTGAATATTCTGAAACTTTCCATAAATTCTGATATTTTCTTGCAAATTGATTAACCAGTTCGTTTTATCAAGCTCATATATCTTAGGGCATATAATTCTTTCTATCAAAACTTATATCTTTAAAAAAAAACCAAATAAATCACATAGTTTTGCAATGGAATGCTTTTAGTTGGCCCGCGACCTTAAAAACTAGTTAAATTTACCGACAACTTTCACAAGCTCTCCAAAAACTGCTACTCCGCTGATCGGACCCTCAGACAGGCGAACACCTATATTTGATTTATTTTTAGCAAACTATTCAGCGGCAATTTCACAGTCAACAGGTCAACACAATATTTTGTTTGTTTGATTGTTATTTTTGTGGTTGGTTTTCGACATTTTTGCACTCTGCCGGAATGCCAAGTCACGTGCCCCGGGGCCAATCGTTGTTGTTGTTGAGCGATGAGCTAACAACAGCGCCAAATTAATGGACGGCATTAAAAGTATTCAAGTAATCGAGTATTCCGATGATTCCGTTGATTCCCATAGGCAAAGTGGGTTAAATGGGAGAGGCGCGAGGCGAGATGGGTAAAAATAACTCGCAATGAAATGGAAAAGCGAAAGGTTAATATATATGTCGAAGGGAGAATACCCTTGAAAATCTATATCTATATAAATGAAATGGATATACGTACTATGCAAATTAGTACACAAAGAGATACCCTGTAACTAGAGTTAATTTACCCCAACTTCTATTCCCATTCTCGCCGTGTTTCTCAATCACTCGAAAAAATTACAACGATATGTAAGTCTAACCTAATTTATGAGAGAAAAAGTGATGCCCAAAATAGACACAGTAAGTTAGATAAATTCTAAAGAGAGAGATCGAATAAGTGTTCAAAGAGAGAGAGAGAGAGAGAGAGAGAGAGAGAGAGAGAGAGAGAGAGAGAGAGAGAGCGAGAGAGACAGAGAGAAAGGGCCCAATTCAAATAGTGAACAGGTAAGAAAACAGAGAGAGAAGAGAAAGTCAGGTGATCAAGATAAAGAGAGAAAGACAGAGATAAATAGAGATATAAAGAAAACGGTTGACAGAGAGAAATAGTGGAATATCTAAATTGTTCTGGAGATCGTGAAAACCACAGGAGGGTGATTCGGTTGAAAATAAAAATGCTCGATAATAGTAGTAGGTATTAAAACAAATAATAATTATTTGTTAGGGGATTGTTTACTAAGATTTAAATCAATATTTAAGAAAAATTGGAAATATTTCCACTTGAGTCTGGCGTCATCTCCCAGCGAATGTACAATACCCTGCAAGTGTAGAGTATACAAACAAAGACCAGAAGCTTTTCAGGCTTTTATTTGTATGATTGGGGTTGTCGGCGTGGGTGGGGGATAAGGTTGGTGAGGTGAAGTGTTGCGCATCAGCTGTTGGACATTGTCTATCGGGTTATACAAATATTTGCAGCGAACAATACAGAAGAGAGCGAGAGAGAAAGACAAGGAGAAAGAGTGGGGGGAGGGGGGTGGGGGGAATGGGATATACGTATAGATGAGTGAATGATATAGCCCTCAAGTGATTTACATGGTAGGGCAGACAAATTATACATATGCATTGCAAGTAAGTATCTAGAATTGGGTGTGGCAAGTGCCACATTGACGTAATTGTTCACACAGACAGACACACACACAAGGCTGACACACCGGCCTATGTAAATAGAGGAATGTATGGTAATACACTTTATACTCTGGTGTCTCATGCATATGTATGTGTTTATATGAATATTGTGAATTGTGAACTGGCGAATGTTCAGGTTTCGCAAAAATATACTTTGAAAAAAATTGCTCGCAGCGCCTGTTGACAAATTGTGTCATTTGTCAGTTGATAAGATGTCGCCTCTCGAAGTCAACAAACGATATCACACGATAAAAGAGAAAACAAAAACTCAGACAAAACGCCAAAAATGTTATACACATATACGCCATATTGTGTGTATATACCATATAAGTAAAAAAATTACATTATATGCATATATCAGGCACATTTTCCGTTGTACGTACTTTTGTTTACATTTTCGATGAACACAAACGCCACAATTGTTGGAGGAATGCGGGCTATGAATCATAAAAATATAGCAACGAATTTTATATACTCTTTGGGAATATCACACAAAGAAGGTTAAGTCGAGCATACATCAAATTAGAGAACTTTGAGGTAAATATGGTTTTTTGAATAAAGTCAAAATTGCTTTCATTGGGTGTAAGTCTAATGAAAACTTTTCTATACCCCAAATAAGTGTAACACGTATATGTTTATGCGAAAAATTCCAGAAAAAAGTTTTGGTTTTGGTTTCTGCGTCTGGAAGATTCCAAACAGGTAATTTCCTTAAAGTGAAGATGATAATAAAAGTTATTAAGGAAAATAAGGTGTTAGCAATTATGTAAGAAGGTCAAATGCATTAAAAGAATCGAGTAGTTATCGATATAGACAGAAACTGAGCACCAATAAAAATTAATCAATTAAAAGTATCGATATAAAAGAAAAACTCAAGAATACAAAGAGATAAAAGACAGTCACTTTTAAGTGTATATTTAAGATCAAAGACCTCCCAAGTGCAATAGAAAAGTTTGAGCAAATATCATTTTCTTTAAAAAAAATGTATATCTGCCGCTTACTGAGTTATTTTGCATTAGCACGATATTAACTTATGACTGTGCAAAACTTGGAGCCAATGCTTCCTTTTTTTAATAGAAATATCGCGAAATGACGTCAGTCGATGTTGTGTGAATTGAAAGATAAAACAAAACTCTGAACTCATTTTGATGTGAGACGTTCTGACGACCATTTTTTGCAATCCATTTAAAATTTCGTTTCCTTCACTTTGTACTTTACATTTGATTTGAGACTCTTTTTCGTTCCTTTAAGCAGATACTTTTTCATGTCTACGATTGGTTTAGTGTCTTACAAAAAATGGGTTGAAGATAGGCGATTTTCAAATACTTTATAATAGTTTGGTCTTATTGTCGGAGCTACAGGCACAAATGGTGTTAGGTTGGTTGTAGGTTGTTTGTTGAGTCATCACAGATAAATTATATGTCAATTTTTCAATTACCTCCCGTGGGGTGATCTCATATATGTAATCAGAACTTTTGCAAATTTTAACCAATTGATGTCTTGGAAAAGCTGATTAGACGGCCACTTAAATGCATTTTTATACAAAAATGTTTGTTACTATTTTTAAATTAGCCCTATCTACCAAAAGTATAAGGTTGCAGCCTTATAACAGAAAGAGAAAAACATTGTTGCACAATCAAATAAGTACAACTTGCATCTTAGATAAGATAAGATAGCAGCTAAGGATTACAGGTAAGTTTGGAGGTCTTCAATATCCACCTTTAAGGAATTAGCTCTAAGAATTTCCGAGATACTCTATTATAATATTTGAGCTCCCTACTTAGATCTTCCATTAGGACCTTACTTACATCTTCCGAGACAGAGACCGAAACTGAGCCCGAGTTGGTCAATTGACGCGATGGACTTGTCGCCGAATTGCTGCTCTCATTGCGCAGCAGTAGGCGTGGCATTGTGGAGGCGCCACCCAACGATACGGGTCGCACTGGAGCTGTTCCGGCAGCTGCTGAAGCAGCATCAACAGCATCTCCAGCTCCGGACAGTGCTGGGGCACGTCGTATCCAGATCTCGTCTAGTTCCCGTTCACTGGGCGTGCGCGGCTTACTAGCCAAACTATCACAATTGAGACTTTGGTTGTGGCTGTTGACATTGAGCGACAGATTGCTCTGCGTGGGTGCGCGTATCTCGACCAGGGAAGAGTCAAAGAACTGCTTGGAGAGATGCGGCGCAGCGACGGGAAACCGATTGCTGCCATAGCGCTGCGAGAAGAGGCCCTGCACAGAGGAGTAGCCGCCAAAGCTGGAGGGGAAGCTGATGGTTTGTGAATTGGCGCTGGGCTTAAGTTCGCGCAGCTGTTGCGCCTCCACGCGCAGCTCGGGCGTCTCCTGGGCACGCGACACCTTAAACTTTCCTCGGATAATGAGCGGCGGCTCAGCAGCCTGTGGCAGCTGCAGGGGTGTAGGAGTAGGTGTTGGCGGCGATGCTGGCACTGCAACTGCAGCTGCTGGCGGCTTTGGCGCTGCGGGCGCCTTTGCCTCGCTGGACTGCAGCAGCTCCTTGAGCGCCTTGGGCAATATGGTGGCCGGTATGGGCGGTGGTGGTGGCGGCGGCGGCGGTGGCAGAGACGTATACTGCTCCTCAATGTTGCGCGTGTTGATCCTATCGATTTTGTGCATGAACTGTTGCCGCAAACGTTCCAAATCCTTGAACTTCTCCTTGGAGGCGGCATCTTGCGGGGTGGGTGGACGCGGAGGCGCCTTAGACACGCGCTCAAAACGCGAGCCCTCGCTGCCATTGGCGCCCACAGGCGGTGACTTGTCACCGCCCTCATCCTCGTCGTCCTCCTCCTTGCACTGCGAGAGGCGACGTCGCTCTATGAAAGGTGGCAACAGATATGCTGGACGCTGGTGATATATATCGTAGCGTGCATCGCTGGCTCGACTAAACTTGGAGCTCAGATTCAGTGCACCCACCTCCACATCACCGTCATCATCGTCATTGTTCTCGTTCTCGTCATCGCTGCTGCTGCCGCTGCTGCTTTGGAAATCAAAGGAATTGGCACGTGGCAGCATCGTCTGCAGCTGGAGCTCCATTTGAGGCGCCAGCTGCTGACTGTACTGCAGACCACCTATGCCGGCCAGCTGGCTCAAGCTGGAGGCGGAGGAGTCAGTGGCTTGCCCATTGCCGCTGGCCTCTGAATCCGATTCGTAGCCGTCGCGCACCGCCTGCTCCAGATCATCCATGGTAGACTCAAAGGCGCACTCAAAGCTATCCATTTGATTGCTCGGGCACATCAGCTCCCGGCCCTCCTGCTCCCGTCCAGACTCCTTACTATTCTCCTTCTCCCTGCCATCCTGCTTTTCCTCGTGCTCGTTCATAGATGAGGCATTGGTCTTGTCGCTCTTTGTGGCTTCGCCTGCTGCGGCTGTTGTTGTCTTTGTGATCTGCTGCTGTTTCACATTATCCTCAATGTAGTCGCAGTTTGTGGCCATTTGCAATTCGCTTATTAGGTCGAATTTTTGGATGGTGCTAGCTTCCGATTCCGCTTCTCTTTATTCTTCTTCTTCTTACAGGCTCTATCAGTTCGTTATGCAATTGATTCTGCTTGAAGCGACATTGGATGACCCGAGAATTGAATATTGTATTTGGAATCTGTAAAAGAATTGGCATGGTCGTATTCGTGTTTTGGCTGCATTGAGTTTTGTAGCCGTCAGCTTTCGTTTGTGTTGATATGAGAGAGCGCAGAAGTATAGAGAGCGCGAGAGAGAGAGAGAGAAAGAGAGAGAGAGAGCGCGCGAAAGAGAGAGAGAGAGAGAGAGAGAGAGAGAGAGATAAGGAAAGAAGTAGACGCTCCCATTCTCAGTAAAAATACGTTGATATACAACATACAAAATAACAATTTTAGATCAGATATTAACTTTTTTCAGTCTTGATATTTAACTTGTTGAAAAAGCTCAGAAGCTCATACCATAGTACATAGTAAATCCTATAAATACCCAATTTGGGTAAGATATCTTGATAACCAAAAATGATTGGCAAACAAAAGTCTACCGATCGTTCCTATGGCAGCTATTCGATATATTGGTCCGATCCGGCTGGTTCCCACATATATACTGCCTGCTACTGGACTGAGAGACTGGTTCGTATAGAAACAGAAAGACGTACCTAGATTAAGTCGGATGCCGATGCTAAGCTAAACTATATATATTTTATGGGGTCGGAGATGTCTTTCCCAAGTAGTTCCTAATTTTGTTATTTTTATTCGGCTGGAAAAGCTGTAAAATAAAAAGCTATTTAAAACTTGTCTTACAATTCCCAAATAGTTCAAGCGCAAAATTAAGGCATACGACAAATCTCCAAGTGCTTTTATAGCAATACGCCTGATTATTACAAATCTTCAGAATTTGTAATTCAAAATAATTGCCAGCACTTAAAAAACCACAGAGCAAGCAACGCGAACATGTTGTCAAACTTAAAGATAATTTCGTGGCGACATAAATACAAAATAAAGTGTAGCACGGGGTGAAGGTCGACAAACAACGACGCAAAGTATTTGGAAAATGCAAAATTGTGTTTCAGTTTTTGTATTTTATTTTGGACTACTTTTTTTGCGGCCAGTTTGAACCGAGCATTTGCCACACAACCGAAACAAAATCAACAAATAAATAAAAAGGAAAAAACAAATATTGTGTATATATTTGCGCATGGACTGAAAGAGCAAAACAAAGCGCTAACAAAGCTAATTCAATTATTTACGCGTCGTCAAGACAAGAAAAAAACAAACGCCATAAGAAAGCAACAATGGAGAGGAATATGAAAATGCTAACATATGGCAAACACATATTTATATATGTATATATACATGCCCCAACCCTCGATCAACCGAAAAAATACTACCACATATATAAACAAAAAAATAAAACATTACTAAATAAACATCTGTGAGTCAGAAGTTGGAAGGAGGAATAACGTTTTGATTATATATATTAAGAGAGCTTTTTTGTGAAGCCAATTCGATATAGAAAACATTTATTGCCGAAGCGAGAAATGCAAAAACTGAGAAATATAAAAAAGGGAGAAATTAAAGTAGGGAAATTTATAAAAATGGGAGCAGAACATGTGCTCAGTAAACTTTCTGCTCACCTTTGAGATAAAGATACAGTGAAGATTCTAACTGCTTTGGGTTGACACAAGTCTTTTAGAGTGTTCGCTGTGACAAGAAATCGCTTCAATTTCTTATATATATATATATTTTTTTTTTGCTGTATATTATTATACCCTAGCAGAGGGTATTATTGTGTTATTAAGTATGCCAAGAATCGGCCAGCAATATTGGCCATAACAAGGCAGGTGAGTAAATGTCTAGGCCACACCTTGTCAAATGGACAAGGTTTTAAAAATACTTAGGGATAATTATAATTTATTGCATTTAATTTATATTTTTTTTTAATATTTTTTTTTTTTTTAAAACCTGCCATAAGCACCACTGTGTGCTTCACAATTAGAAGAGGAGTACCACCAGCGCTGAGGCTAAACGGACTGACGCTAAACCAAGAGAGCGAAACAAAATACTTGGGCGTCACCCTTGATAAGCGTTTAACTTTCGCCAGCCACATTAGAGGTGTTGTGCAACGCTGCCGAAATAAACTGTCCAAGCTAAATTGGCTGCTCAACCCTCGCAGCAAACTCTCGCTTGCAAGCAAACGACTTGTCCACTTACAAGTTGTGGCACCCTTCTGGCGATACGCCATACAGATCTGGGGCTTGGCTGCTCCTTCGAGCAGGAAGAGAATCCAATCCCTTCAAAGCAAGGCCCTCCGCCGGATGGCAGATGCGCCATATTACGTGAGCAACAGCGTCCTCCACAGAGATCTGCAGGTGCCCTGGGTTGAAGACCAAATCAGGACCCACTGCGTCCTTTATAATAACCGGCTAGCATTTGACTTCAAAGCGATTTCATTTACAGATGTTTATTACAAACAGGCTGCACACTGATTTTATAAATAAATGTTGTATACAAAGATTTAGGAGCAGATTTAGGTATTAAGAATTTATGGCAACACAACCAGATTAAAGTGCGGCTTGTTTTAACCTCACACAAAGCTTCATTCAGAGCGTTTCTCTGAATCTCTCTCTGACTGTATGGGGGCTGCACGACACAAAAACAAATCCTACAGATAATTCTAAGTAATTCGCGGAAAACTCGCTTTTCATCGCTTAAACTTAATTCTTTTATGAACCATGGCTTTTTACCAGTTGACTGCAGTCAAATAGACAAAAGGACACAAGTTCATCAAGTATCTGCGTTTTACTGCAAAGCAATATAGGGTCTAAGTGCTGGGGCGTAACGTTTTGCATAGCTAAAAGCCAAACCGCAACTGAGCAAAATAAATGCAGGCGATCCGATCCACCCAGCAATTAATGGCAATTTAATACGTATTCCTTTCGTATATCCGCATATTATAGTAGGGGGGTACATGGTTCAACTCGAGGGGTGTTCAAGTTTGCGGTATTTTACAAAACTTTTTGCGGTCACGCGGGGCGCGGCATGAGTCAAGTCATGTCGAATGAAGTGAATAATTAAAGCATAACACTCGAACTGACAGCCGCGGCTATGCGTCAGATGCTTTTCCGAAATGCCGAACGACGCTAATTGAAGACGAACACACACAAACAAATAAATAAATACATATAAGCGAACTGCAAGCCGTAGAGCAATTTAATCTGTAACCGAAGCAGTCGGTTTATGTCTGGATTTGAGATGGGCGCAGGTCGTGAGGCAAGCGGGCACGAGTTAACACGATGTATTCAAATTGGGAGCAGAGTTGGACTTTCGTGTTCTTATCAACAACATAAAATCATGAGACCAATATTACCAAAATATGGCAAAGATCGTTATCAATACCCCAGTATTGTAATAAAGCGATGTATGAAGCGATATAGAAGAAATCGATGCATGTTTTGCATATGAGTAATCGAAATGTATCGATGTTGGAATTAAAAAACAACAATACTAGAAGCTGCGAACTTTACTTATGTTTAAACGATTGACTGAGGGGACCTTAAGAGTTGAAAGTCAAAGTTGTGAAATAAAGATAGAGAGTATATAAGACGAATCTGCAAAAATATCGATATATATTGATTATAATAATTGTCTAGTTTTTTATTGTTCACAGATAAGTTTGTTTTGCTTATTTTAAATAGCACGTGACTGAATCATTAAATCTCAATAAAAATTTACTAACGTATTTATTTAGGTTTATTTAAAAAACTTTTTAAAAAAGCATACTCTTACTATATTAAAGAAGAATGCATATGTAAGCGATGATCCACATTGGGAAGCTGTGCTTTAATTTCTAAGTAGTTGTAGCTCATCTAGTGGACAGTATTTTACGCCCAAGATTCTTAATTAAATAGTTTTTGAAGCTACTTTCGATAAATTAACAAATAAGCTCTCAATAGTTTTTCGTGCTCGTATTCTCGTAGTATTTTAACCGAAATGCACATCTCTGTAATTGCATTTCGTATATAATGCCGGGCAGCTGTTGCTGTCTTTTAATTATAAGCCATTAACAATTGCAACAGCCACCAATAATTGCTGGCGAATCGAACGTCATGTAACCGCATTCGACTAGTTGTACCAATTAATCAATGACGCGCAACTGGAGACCTGTACACAATACCCGTACCCCAGAGAGCGGCTTCTGGCCAGACAAACTGGCGTCTTTCAACTGAACTCAACTGTGGCTTTCATGCTGCATTTGCATTGAAGCTAAGATGAAGCATGAAAATGCAATTAAAAACTTAAAGCTTGATGGAAATGATAAATCTTTGAGGTTTTACTTATGACCTTTTACCAAATTTAAGGGAATTTTTTAAAAGACAAGCTTATGAGTTATTATTAATAAATCATCATTAAATTAAATTAAATTCCTAACTTCATCAAGAACAACATATTTGTAATGACAATACTTGTATATTTGAATACTCGTACACAGAAAACCCGAACGTGTTCTCTGACCTTTGTCAAGCTTCTTCAAGTTCCTACGCAATACGTATTGCAAACTATTTTAGCTAAAGTATAATTGAAAATATGTCAAACTTTGCATACATATTGAGAAACATTGAAATGCCGACAATAAATAATTGCAGTCACGTAATTAAAATAATTCTCAAATCGATAAGAGAACAAACAATTCGAGTTTAAGTAAATAAATAATTAAAAACAAAATGGCATTCAAACAATTTCTACAGTTTCATTTGGAATACATTAAATAATAAAACAAATAAATGTTCCATAGAGCTAGGCGAAAGATGAGTTCTAGTTAGATATGACACTCGAATTGATAAATGACATATTAATTTGAATGCAATGTAAATAGAATCATTAATTGCAAATGCAAATGCAAAAGTACAAGTGCTGCTGACTTTGAATCCATGAGATACTTATGAGTGGGTTCCTCTAAATGATGTAAGACTTTTAGCTGTTGAAGGCTTATGCAATTGCTGAGAATTGAATAGCACGTGAGTGTCTGTTTGAATAGTTCAAAACGAATGAATGATTCACTTAAATTAATACCAAAAGTCACCAGATTGTGGCGGGTATATAAAATAATCAATTAATGGCTGTCACACGACATGCGCCAAACGAA